CAATAAAATAATTAGCATTAGTCATAGGGATGTTTTTAACAACTGAAAGTGCCTCTCCCTCAAGACAGCTTAACAAATAACTCATTTTTTCAACACCAGAAATACTATCATTTTTATGAATAGTATTTTCAAACAAATTTTTGAACGCCATCCACTTTTCATGTTGACCTGAGAAGGTACCAAGTTGAAGTTTAGGAAGCTGTACACTAACCTTAGTTGTAGCTACTTGGCTGATAGCTGCATTGGAATCATCCAGGTTTGGCTGGCTCGACTGGTTAGAGCTTGGGGAAGGTATCAAGTTCACACACAAAGAGTGAATAGACACATAGAGATCACTTATTTCATCTTGTAATGTTGAAATTGTAGTGATATTTTCACTTTCATCTAATTCCTCAGGTAAAGGCACAGTGCCGAACAACTTATTCACTAATTTGTCAAAATCATTATTTTTGGCTGTAGCGGTGGAATCCAAAAGAGTGAGCTTTGTTATAAGTTGAGGAGTGATAGGTTCCTTTTCGATAGCAAGCACTTTTGCTTCAATTGACTTAAGCCTGGCTAGCACAAGCTCAGATTGCTTCACAAAAGTTGAGAACCTCATTTTGAATAAGTCTTAAATTCAATAAAATTCCAAAATAAAAATAAATGCAGATTAAAATAAGTTTATAATGAGCAAAACTTATTTAAAGACAGCCAGGATTCATTGTATTAAATATTAATATTAGTCAACTTGAAATCAGAGAGAAATATTCAGCCATAGTATAGGCCTATAAAAAGTTTAAGTCCCAGAAAATATCTACCTGCAATTATTTCCAGATAATAAATTTGAAATTCAATAAAACATGTTATTTCAAACACAAACTGTAATTAAATGTTCAATCCGTATTAATAAACATTCTTCTGTCACTTTAATTTAAAAGTGTAAGCAAACAATTGAGGTTATGAAAACATAAACAAAGTCTTGCATAATGACATTTAAGTTTTCATTTCTATCCATCAGCAGCGCTAGTGTTGATCAGCTGTGAAGTTGGTATGACTTCCATGATTTTCTGAATATTCAGCAACAAGAGAGAAACTTGTTTCACATTACAGGGGGGAGAGAGGGGGGCAGACAGGATGCAGCCCGATAATGCACAATAGAGAATAGACAAACTATGCATGAAAATACAGGAGTTGTAGACAGTACAGTCTGAGAACAAAATTTTCTGTCTGGGACAACAAAACTTTATGTGTTATTTCACAAATTACTGCAACAATTTAATAAATTGATAATAATGTGATCAAAAATATTTAATCCTCTTGTTAATGATACTTAATGTTGATGACAGATTTATTCAATTAATTTATTCAGTTCAAATAAATACAAAACTTAATAGTCACAGTAGATTATTTTCCATAGGCTGGGAAACATCCGGCTCGTGAGGACCATGTTAAATATGGTATTAAGAGGTAAAATTGTGAGAAATACCTTTAGATCCTAAAACTGAAGATCCATTAGGGTTTTGGTAGAACAGGAACAAGATGAGCAGAGAAGCGATGGCTCTGGCCAGAGTGACGAGAATCGAAGGACCACAGATGAAAGATGATGTTGAGAAATGACTATTGTTGTGTAGTATGTAATTCTTCACTGATTTAAATTAAAACTCTTCTTCATTAATAAAAAGAAAGCAATTCACTACTCATGAATATTCTGGACTGTACACGAAAATTTACAACACATTTACTTTAAATAAAAATATCTTCTTGGATCCTAGCTTGACACTTGGTACTATAAATTTGGAATCCATATTTAAATGAGAAATGATGAAATAATGCACTTGGAGCGGTAAGAGAGAAAGAGAGATTAAAATATTTAATATGAACTAAACCAAAAGGTAAGCACTGTGTACTGTGAGAGAGGTGAGTCTAAACTGAACTGACTAGTACGAAGTGCTGTAGTGAACTTTGGACAGTGATGTCATCATATCAGCTGTTGTATCCTTTCAATAACTGAACTAAAAACTTGACTTGAATGTTAATACTACTTGATTAATTGTTTATATTTGACTGTATATAGTTCATATGTTATTAAATAAATATTTTATTAAATGTCCTTAGTTGAATTACTAAATATTTAACACTATGATTCTGCAGTTTGCAGGTTTTCTGGGTCCTGTCCTATCAAACTTTAACGTGCGTGCTTGTGGATTTGTTACGAGGGGAACCGATTACCTGTAATCTTGTGGACTCGTAGCACTACATTTATTTCAGACTCTAAAGTCAGTTCATCCCAGAGTTCAGAAGGTCTTGTGCACCGTGTGTTTGTGTCCTGTATTATTGTTCATATTTATTTATTGCATGTTATTGCCTGTTATTTTTTGCATGTATATATTGCCTGTTTTTTTTTGCATGTATATATTGCTTGCCGTATTTATAGCTTGCATTTATAGCCTTGTCTACCCTGGAACAGACCGATACACGGGACTGTTATTTATGCAGTTCTATGATTCTGCAGTTTGCAGGTTTTCTGGGTCCTGTCCTATCAAACTTTAACGTGCATGCTTGTGGATTTGTTACGAGAGGAACCGATGACCTGTAATCTTGTGGACTCGTAGCACTACATTTATTTCAGACTCTAAAGTCAGTTCATCCCAGAGTTCAGAAGGTCTTGAGCACCAAGTGTTTGTGTCCTGTATTATTGTCTGTATTTATTTATTGCATGTTATTGCCTGTTATTTTTTGCATGTATATATTGCCTGTTTTTTTTTTGCATGTACATATTGCTTGCCTGTAGCTTGCCGTATTTATAGCTTGCATTTATAGCCTTGTCTACCCTGGAACGGACCGATACACGGGACTGTTATTTATGCAGTTCTATGATTCTGCAGTTTGCAAGTTATCTGGGTCCTGTCCTATCAAACTTTAACGTGCATGCTTGTGGATTTGTTACGAGGGGAACCGATGACCTGTAATCTTGTGGACTCGTAGCACTACATTTATTTCAGACTCTAAAGTCAGTTCATCTCAGAGTTCAGAAGGTCTTGAGCACCGTGTGTTTGTGTCCATTTATTGCATGTATATATTGCTTGTTATTTTTTGCATGTATATATTGCCTGTTTTTTTTTGCATGTATATATTGCTTGCCCGTTATTGCTTGCCGTATTTATAGCTTGCATTTATAGCCTTGTCTACCCTGGAACGGACCGATACACAGGACTGTTATTTATGCAGTTCTATGATTCTGCAGTTTGCAAGTTATCTGGGTCCTGTCCTATCAAACTTTAACGTGCATGCTTGTGGATTTGTTACGAGGGGAACCGATGACCTGTAATCTTGCAGACTCCTAGCACTACATTTATTTCAGACTCTAAAATCAGTTCATCTCAGAGTTCAGAAGGTATCGTACACCTCTTGTTGTTCCTTCATAACTCTTCTCAGCCAAATTTTCAGGTGATGAATCTCTAGCAAACACAAGTTCCAAGTATTACCATTTTATATTACTACTCTATTACATATGGAAATAGTCTGGAAAAAATCACAAACAATGTGAAAGAAATCATAGTGAAAGAAAAATTTTGGAACTCATATCTTCTGAGCCAAATTTTTAGTAGAGAAATCTACAGCAAACACTAGTAGAGTAGAGACAAAAAGTTATCCAACAAAACTAAGTACAGTATGAATAAAGGAACAAAATAATTACTCTTATAGGTTCTAGTGTAATTAATATAACTCTTGTCCTCTTCTAAATCTTGTCTTTTTAGACTTTGTTTTAGATTTTCAAATTGTATTGAGCGACTTATCTATCAATGGAAATTCGTATAGTTCTTTCTAATATCTTGGAACTTTCTACACGAAGATCACATAAGCTCCACCTCTGCAATAAGTGCTAAGGTAATTTTGTTTGATTTTATAAATAATTAAATAAAATATATCAATGTTCAGTAATGAACAAATAAGCAATATTTTAGTAATTTTTAACAATATTGTCTTCAATATTGCAAAAATGTTTTTATACTTTTTTTTGACAACAAGAGAAAGGACACTCTAGACTTGTTTGGTTTGATATCAAAGAATTTATTTATTTATTTATATGTACATACCAACGGCAGAGCCATTTGAATTGAAGTAATAGCATTAATAGTAGTATAATTATTTAATAGTAAGTATGTTGTACCTACGTCTAACATTTTGACATTCCTTGTTGCAGTCATATCACTGAGGTGACAGTCAATCGTAGCAAAAGTTTAGCAAGAGAAGTAACGCAACTGTAGCCTTCACTACGTCCATCTCTTTCAGCACTTTGGTGCCAGGTGAGTAGCAAACGTTTGATACCGTATCCTAATAGAAACAAACAAATCAACAGCTGTTAGGTACATTGACACTGTAAAAGGTTTCTTAAGCTACATAATTAATAAGTCATCAGCTTATTTGGTAGATAGGTTCTTGCCCACTTGCCCCATTGAGCTGATCTGTTTCTCAAACAAGGTTCAAAGACACCCTTGATTTAACCAACTTTACTTAAATAAAAATGTCTTTCTTTTCCGTTCAAATCAAAGCTTTAAGTTTCCATAGTATTCAAAATGTTGTGAAAGAAGATTTACGACAATGGATGTCAATGAAAAAGGTTTTAGGTGAAAACCAAATTCCCCATTCTTAGTCACTATTCACTAAAACGCTCTCCACATTTAACTGCCTACAACATAAAACAGATTGCATCGTTCCACACAGGCGATTGAAAGCAAGTGCCTGTCAATTTGAGATAGGTATCTTTTACTAATTATTTGATACTGTTTTAGTCTATAGTTTTGGAAAATTGTCTTTAGTATATAAACAATAAATCAACACATTATTTGGTATTGAAAACTAACAATTAAAATGGATATCATGACAAATTAAAATTTCCTGTCTATTCACTGGTGTTGGCCCAGAAAAATCGGAAGAATCAATATATAGTGATGAATATATCGAAAATAAAATTCTAAACTATAAGTTGATTTTAAAAGAAATGTATTTATTAGTAAGTGGGGTAATCGTTTAACTTCTTGATGTACTTTGTTGTAGGCATATCACGGTGGCGTCTGCTAATGCAGCTGTATCCTACCCCAAGTCTGGCTCCTTGATCTCAAAGGTGAATATCCTAATTGAAACAAAGAAATCAATTGTTACATACATGGACACTGTAAAAGGTCTCTTAAGCATTTTTAACATTTTTTCCATTTTGAGCTGATCTGTTTCCCACATAAAATTCAAGGAAACACTCTTTCAGTGGTGGAGTGAAATTCCAAACTACATAAAGACTATAACCTGTTAGACGATATGGATAGAACATTTAGTTTAAAACAGGTAAGAGTGTCGTGCCCTCCTCTATGGATCAGTGACTGATATCAATAGCTGTTGACCACTGAGACTAAACAAACCTAATCACAGAACATTTTGAAATTGTCAATTTTTGAAACTATGTTTTTGAATACCAAACAAATACAGGATAAACATGACTAATAATCTTATAACAGTGGGACCACCAAAAATAGTAGAATCATTTAACACTAGTAATTAGATGTGTGTGCCGGTCAAGTTAGGATACATGTTAATAATTCTTTGATTCTGTTTTAGATCTTTCCGACTTTTCGTGCGCGTTACATTTTTCAAGAGGATCACACATGAACTTCCTTTACGTAGTTGTGGACATCAGGTGTCTTCTGTAAGAATTAGAGGTACCTATTTTATTTATATTTCTTGTAACTAAATATGTAAAATGGTTTGATAAAAATCAATTGGATGAAACATATTTTTAAAAAACGCAAGTAATACGAATTCAGGTGTCTTATTTGTATTAGCCTGCTTTACTGGGACATCAGTTTGATGGAGACTTCATCTACAAAGTCATAATCTTTCATTAAACCAACCTTTTGGTTTCATGGGATCTTATGCATTAGTATAGCCTATTTTGACTTGTTTTTAGGCTTGTTTTGTTTTGCCTAAAAATAGGCTGTTTATGTACCGTAATAGCTGAATTTTCTTGACTTTTGTCTATTGCATTTGTTGTAAATGTTGAAGGACAATAAAACGTTTCTGATTTCTGATTTCTGATTTCTTATTTCATGCATTTTGCATTGAAGTTTGCAATAATTACATATAATATACAACATTTCAGTTTAGTATATAAATAGATACTAAATAGATATAATTTAAACAAAATTTAATTATTAGATGATGTTTGCTCACTTAGACTTTGCTATTACAGGGTTCGAGTTGCTGTCGTACCAAAGGTAGGAACTTTCCTTTTGTGTGCATTATATGTTCTGCCATCATTCATCGGATTGAGTCTTCGCTTCACTGAAGAAATCCCCGTCGTTTAGTTTTAGGTTATTACAAAGAGGTTAGGGATGGTTAGAGTTATCACAGATAACTAAATTAATTTTATTTATAGTTTTTATTAGATCAGGGATTTTCAGGTTTTTTTAATTAGATAGTGTTAGGTGAAATTTTACTATTTTTTAAATAGGTTAGCCACAAACTTTTAGAACAGATTAGGGATTTTCAGGTTCTTTTTATTAGATAGTGGTAGGTGAAATTTTACTATATTTTTTCATGAATAGGTTAGCCATAGGCTTTAGAACAGATTGAAAATGTTTAGGTTTTTTTTACCATACAGTGTTAGGTAAAGTTTTCTATATCTTTTCATGAACAGATTTGCCAGCTTTACAACAGATCAGGGATTTTTAGGTTCTTTTTATCAGGTATAGAGTTAGAAAGATAATCAAGATATTATTACAGTAGCTCAAAAACACTTCATAGCTATGATAGGTTAGTGCCAGGCCATCCTCTACGAGACATCTTCGAGAGCAGATCTTCAAATTCAAGACGCTTAATTGTTTGTTTGTTTTGTGTGTGTGTGTGTGTACTTATATTTGTTTCCATGTCCAGTTTCAAATCATCTGATATTGTTGCACGAACATAGTGATGAAAGTTGATTTGACGCGATTTCAGATATGAGTCATAAAGTTGGATAGTTTGGGTTGATTGTTAATGTTAGTTAAAAGAACCAGAAGAAGAAGAAGATTAAGGAAATCGCAAATAAAAAAATAGTGGTAAGTTGCGTAGTTTTTTGTAAATTCCAATTTTATTGATTCCTCAAATGTTGCATACTGTACATATATTTTTATTATTAGATATTGTTTTCCTTTAACTAGGTGTTATTACTACGCCTTCTTTAAGTCAGGGAATAATTGTAGGATATACATATATTTTGTATTAAGTTATTTATTAAGTCATTTTTCAGTAGCCTGGTAAAAGTTTAAGAAGTTTAACCATGAAAAGCCATTATATAACTCTTATCTACTTAGGCAAAGCCAGTAAATAGGGAATTATTTATGCCTTCAGCAGATGGGGACATCAATTGACCAAAAAATAGATATAAAATAGATTCCTATGTAAGGTTTTGCATGATTAAACTTCTAAGATTCTTACCAGGGGTGGCAAGGAGGGATAAATGGGCTTCGGCCCTAAATTATTTCAAAACTCATATCGTGCGTTATATCTAATAAAATTCCAAATTTTTTTGGGAGTTTTGAAAACAGTTTTTGATTAGTAATTTACACCTTAAGCTTGTGTTACGGCCCTACCACAGTACGGTAATATTATGTGGTAGAAACAGGAGGCCCTCCACCTGAACATGGCCGAGGGACCGCTTGTGGGTAGAGAGAAGAGGTAGATAAAAATAATTGTGTCTGGACCTCCTCTCCCTACCACGGGTGTCCTTTATCCAAAGTATCCCTTAAACCTTATTCCAACCCACTGACATGATTTCCTTACTTTTCTTCTCTTCATCCTGCTAGCTTCCATAAAGGCATCGCCAGAGCTGTTTTCGACTACCTAAGTAAGTATCTTATCTACTCTACCAAATAGAAACAATAATGATACAACCTTAGTATAAGTAGATGGCAGAGATCTCAACTCATAGAATATTTAAAGTATCCAAAAAGCCAGTTTACTACAGGTTTAATGGAAAAAAATGGATGTCAGCAAATAAGATTTTAGGTCAAGCTATTCCATATTTAAAATTAAGAAAAGAACTGCCAACTATTAAACTGTCCCTTTAGGATTTGGAATTTTTCCCTCAAGATCTTGGAATTTTTGAAGTGACAAATGTTGATTTTAACCAATTCCACTAAAGCTGCATCACACAACACAGGTAAATAGAAGTAAGTTTTGGTCCAGATAGGATTACTTTTAATAGTTCGTTGATCCTGTTTCAGATATCTCCGATTGTAGCGGGTGAACTTTCCTGAGAAAATCTCACAGCAAGTAATTCAACTACTTCCAAGTATGAACTTCCCGATTCGAGAAGCTGTTAATATCAGCTGTCTTTTTTATCATTTGCAGGTAATTTTTTACATATCTTATAACTAAATGTTTAAATTGATAAGAATACTATACTCAATGGATTTACGTTACGACGTACATGCTACGTAACTTCACAGCGCTCCCAGTGGCGTGTGCCATAACCTATGGTAACTGCAGCTCGGCTGACAGTTTATATTTAATTATTTTAGGCTATGAAGATACACAATGGATTTACAGATCAGCGTTACTAAACAGTAAACATGCAATAGTATGTAAATAAACCGATGTATAATTTGGAAAAATAAACTAACTAATAAAATAGATCTCATGATAGATTTAAATGACCTAACAGAGTAATCCAGAATAATCTGTTTGTCCAGAATAATCTGAAAATTCTATATATATCGAAGATAAATTAAATTCTAGACATTGTTGACTTTACAAGAAACGCATATATTTAATCATAATAATTGTGTTAATCCTTTAATCCTTTTAACCCCTTGATGTGCCTTGTTGCAGGAATATCACCATGGTGTGCTGCTGTCTGCCAATCGTACCAAGAGCGTAGCATGGGATTTAACTCAGCTGTAAATTCTGCCTCACGTCAGGCTCCTTGAACAGTTTCGTACCTTAAGGTAATTATCTTACAAATGATTTATTATTTAAATCAAAGAAATTAATAGTTGTTAAAGACATAGCCACTTTAAAAGGTCTCTTAATTTTTTTAAGGTTCTTGCTATATTGAGCTGATCTCTTTCCCATATGAGGTTCAAGAAGAATCTTGTCAGTGGTAAAGCAAAATTTCAAACTGCGTATAAAAAATACTCAGGGCAGTAATTCCCTAACAGCGGACACGGGAGTTGCGAGGACCTTGGCCTAGGAGGGGGCCCATCTATTTTTTTTTTATAAATTAATTTCACTGATTTAATCCGTTTTTCTGTGATTGAGAGAGACGTTGATAATCGATAATGTCCACATGGTCGCGGGAAAAAGATAAGAATTTCGCCTCATTTGCTGAAGACGATGATGATCTGCATATGACCATGGGAGATGATTACCATTTTGCCGCAATCGCGGGAGGCAATTAATATGTCCACACGTGTCCATACGACCGTAGGCGACGATATAATGATTTCTACACGGCGACGACGGGTGATCAGAACTTGACCTCCCCGCCTATCGTGCAAGACGATAGTAATGTCCACACAACTGTGGGAAAAGATCTGAATTTCGCCTCATACTCGAAGGACAATGATAATATCCCCAAGACGGCGGGATTTTTTCATATATTGCCATGATAATGGAAGACGATGTCTACACGGCCGTGGAAAATAGTGAGAATTTTGCCTACACGACTGCGAGGATTATCAGAAGATTACCACAATCGCATGCAAATACAATCACTATTATTTTTTATTTACAATTTTTTTTCCGCCCCCCAAAAAAGTCAATTGCCTCGCACCTAATATCGGCCCTGCACATTCCAATTACTAAACCAATGGATCTTATGAGCGCTTGCCCACTGTACTACAGTCACAACACTCACAGTCACTGAACAACCACATCATTCTGTCGTGGTGCATTTGTCCACTAAAACTTTGATCCGCGACTCTCGCCCGACTGTCGTGCTTGCAAGGGCGTACATGATTAAATGGGTGCTCACCCACACCACAATTGTTTGTCGGAAGTCGTGCGTTCTCCCCAGTAGTCCTAGTTCTCGTTGCACCTTCTCTCTGTGCACTTTGCATACTGCGTTTGTTTTTTGAAGTGAATAGTGACAATGTATTTTAGTTGTGAGTGACAATGGCATCAAATGAATTATCGTGTGGATCGTAAATAGCAACTTAAGTGATAATTGACAATGATGTTTTGATTTTAAACGAAAGAAATGTGGAGACTAGTTTGCTCTGCTCTGAGAGAGGATTTTGAACAATTGGAGGGTAAAGGTAAAAAACATTTATTAGTTATTATTTGTTATTATTAGGTTTTTTAATCAATTAATAAATTGATTAATTGGGTGAATCCAGTACTTCCGCTCAATCCTACGCTGCCTAATTCTGCACCACATTGCAACAACACGTAAACAGATTCATTGTTTTACTATTTTTGATACAGAACCACTGTTAATATATTGCACAACACACACTCACTCGTCCACAGTTACCGAACAACTGATCATTTACCCGATAAAAATATAGTAAAAAACAGTAAACATGCAATTGTACGTAAATAAACCGATGTATAAATTGGAAAAATAAACTAACAATTCAATAAGATCAAATGATAGATATTCTAGACTTGGTTGATTTCACAAGAAACGTATACAATTAATTGTAATTGTGTTAATCCTTTTAAACCTTTAAACCCCTTGATGTTCCTTGTTGCAGGAATATCACAGTGGTGTGCTGGTGTCTGCCAATCAAAAACGTAGCATGAGATTTAACGCAGCTGGATCCTGCCCCACGTCAGGCTCCTCGAACACTTTTGTCTCTTGAGGTAACTATCATACACTTGATTTACTATCTGAAACAAAGAAATAATTAGTTGTTAAATCCATAAACACTTTATAAGGTATGGAGCTTTTAAAGGTTCCTGCCATATTCAGCTGATCTGTTTCCCATATTACGTTCAAGAAGAATCTTGTCAGTGGTGCAGCAAAACGCCAAATTACATAAATACTCAGGGCCGTATTTCCCTAACGGCAGACACGGCGGTTTCCAGGGCCTCGTCCAAGGAAGGGGCCTCACTGTGGGCCCCGAATATGTATTTTTTAAATAAATTTATAGCAGGAGATGTTGATAAAATCTGCGCGACAGCAAAACAATCTTCCCTATTTTGCCAATTATGTAGGAGACGTCACTATTCATCCGCTATCACAGGAGTATGTCCATGATTTTATCGTGACCCCGCAAACTAGAAAGATCATCACGATTTCGTCATGATCATAGGAGATGCAGATGATGCCTCTGCCCTTGCGCAAGATATTAACCATTTCTCCTCGGTCATAGAAGTGGTTTAGGATTTTGATGCGATAGGAGGAGTTGAAGATGATGTTTTTTCCCGCTCGCAAAAGATGTTAACATCTCCATAGGAGATATTCATGATTTCGATGTGATCGCAGAAGACGAAGATGATGTCTCCAGGATCGCGCAAGATGTTCACTATGTTTAAGAAGACATTCGACATTGATTATTTTCCTGCGATCGCAGAAGACGAAGATGGTTTATGCACGATTTTGGGAGTATTGCACAAAGTCTAAATATCACAACATTGTGTAAAATATCCGCGATCGCGCATGATGTTCACTATTTTGCCGTGAACGTAGAGATCTTCACGATTCCTCTGTGACCACGGCGGATGTCCAAGATTTTACTGTGACCGCAGAAGACGCTTGCAATTTGGTTGTGATTACAGATTTTGCATAAACTTATTCCAATTTTTTTTCAAAACTACCTACGGTACCTAATTAGTATCCGAAGCCTAAAGGTCCAAATATTTTATTCAACCCAAAAGAAATTAAAATGTCTGGCCCCGACCTAAGCCCCTAATATTATTATTTACAAATTAATGGACTCTATTAGCTAGATTCCTATGTCTTATTACCGATAGGATTGTTGGAAAAAAAAGAAAATTCATCGAGTTAATACTTTTACTTTACTTTTTTTTTTAAGAGGTTGGCGGCCTCTTTTAACCTTGCATTTGCCCGTCCAAATAGACTACAGATCTGTGCGTGGAACGTATCCAGCAAAGCAAGGGGTGAGCCGGTACAGTACAAAGGTGAACTGTACTGATAAAAGTTTGTGGCAGTGACCAGGATCCGAACCCAAGACGCTACAGCCTTGGGCCCGAAGTCCGCGACGCTACCAACTGAGCCACCGACTCACAAAATAATTGCCACGTGTATTTTTAAACTCTTCAGTTCCAATCTTCAAAGAGTCAGAATATAGAGGGGCTTTATAAATTCCAAATATGGCCCTGTAAATACTATATCCTGTTGGAAAATATTGATAGAACATTTAATAAGGACAGTTTTGGAATCAAACCCTCCTCTATGGATTAGCGATAGCTGTTGGCAACTGAGTCAAAACAAATCTAAACATGGAACATGGTGGAAGCGTCAATTATATTATTTTACTATGTTTTTAATACTATAACAAGGCTAATCAAACCATAACTGTGGGACCACCAAAAAGTTTAGAATCATTAAACACAGGTAATTTAAAATAAGTGGCGGTCTAGTTAGGATTCATTTTAACATTTCTTTGAAACTGTTTTAGATCTTTCCGACTGAAGTGGGTATCAACTTTGGGGAGAAGATCGTCATAGAATGAATTACAACTTTAAGCCGGACTTGAACTCACAAAATTTGCTCACTTGGACTTCGCTATTTGCAGGTTTTTGAGTTGCTGCCATACCAAAGGTAGGAACTTTCCTTTTGTGTGCATTATGTGTTCTGCCATCATTCATCGGATTGAGTCTTCGCTTCACTGAAGAAATCCCCGTCGTTTAGTTTTAGGTTATTACAAAGAGGTTAGGGTGGTTAGAGTTATCACAGATAACTAAATTAATTTTATTTATAATTTTTATTAGATCAGGGATTTTCAGGTTTTTTTAATTAGATAGTGTTAGGTGAAATTTTACTATTTTTTAAATAGGTTAGCCACAAGCTTTTAGAACAGATTAGGGATTTTCAGGTTCTTTTTATTAGATAGTGTTAGGTGAAATTTTACTATATTTTTTTCATGAATAGGTTAACCACAGGCTTTTAGAACAGATTGAAAAATTTTAGGTTTTTTTTTAGTATATAGTGTTAGGTCAAGTTTTACTATGTTATCTCATGAATAGATTAGCCATAGGCTTTAGGACAGAATAGGGATTTTCAGGTTCTTTTTATCAGATAGAGAGTTAGGAAGATAATTAAGATATTATTACAGTAGCTCACAAAGGTTTTATAGCTATGATAGGTGAGTGCTAGGCCATCCTCTACGAGAAATCTTCGAGAGCAGATCTTCATATTCAAGACGCTTAATTATTTGTTTGTTTTGTGTGTGTGTACTTGGATTCATTTCCATGTCCAGTTTCAAATCATCTGATATTGTTGCACAAACATAGTGATGAACCTTGATTTGACGCGATTTCAGATATGAGTCATAAAGTTGGATAGTTATTTGAGTTGATTGTTAATATTAGTTAAAAGAACAAGAAGAAGAAAAAGAGCATGAAAATCACGAATAAAAATACAGTGGTAAGTTGTGTAGTTTTACGTAAATTCCAATTTGATATTGTTGCACGAACATAGTGATGAACGTTGATTTGACGCGATTTCAGATATGAGTCATAAAGTTGGATAGTTTGAGTTGACTGTTAATATTAGTTAAAAGAACCAGAAGAAGAAGAAGAGCATGAAAATCACGAATAAAAATACAGTGGTAAGTTGTGTAGTTTTTTATTAATTCCAATTTTATTGATTCCTCAAATGTTGCATACTGTACATATATATTTATTAGGTATTAGATATTGTTTTCCTTTAACTAGGTGTTATTAATACGCCTTCTTTAAGTTAGGGAATAATTGTAGGATATACATATATTTTGTGTATTAAGTTATTTATTAAGTCATTTTTCAGTAGCCTGGTAAAAGTTTAAGAAGTTTAACCATGAAAAGCCGTAATATAACTCTTATCTACTTAGGCAAAGCCAGTAAGTAGGGAATTATTTAGACCTTAAGCGGATGGGGACATCAATTGACCAAAAAATAGATTCCTATGGGATGTTTTGCATGATTAAACTTCTAAGTTTCTTACCAGGGGTGGCATGGAGGGATAAATGGGCTTCGGCCCTCAAATTATTTCAAAACTCATATCGTGCAATATATTTAATAAAATTCAAAATTTTTTTGGGAGTTTTGAAAACAGTTTTTGATTAGTAATTTACACCTTAAGCTTGTGTTACGGCCCTACCACAGTACGGTAATATTATGTGGTAGAAACAGGAGGCCCTCCACCTGAACATGGCCGAGGGAGCGCTTGTGGGTAGAGCGAAGAGGTAGATAAAAATAATTGTGTCTGGACCTCCTCTCCCTACCACGGGTGTCCTTTATCCAAAGTATCCCTTAAACCTTATTCCAACCCACTGACATGATTTCCTTACTTTTCTTCTCTTCATCCTGCTAGCTTCCATAAAGGCATCGCCAGAGCTGTATTAGACTACCTAAGTAAGTATCTTATCTACTCTACCAAATAGAAACAATAATACAACTTAAAATGGTTTACAATACCTGCATATAGTAATCCTTTGTTGCTGATTTAGGCAACTAGTTTCGGTTCTTGTTTTGAACCATCTTCAGGCCTCAAGGTGTCAAGTGATCACTTCATTCGAAGGTCGTTAACAGAGTTCAATAAATAAAACATATACAAAACACGATACACGGAACGGACACACATTACAAAAAACACGAAAAACACGAAGGGACATTGACAAACGATCGTGACCGGGCTGAGGTAATGTCTAGACTGCTACAGCTAGACATTACCTCAGCCCGGTCACGATCGTTTGTCAATGTCCCTTCGTGTTTTTCGTGTTTTTTGTAATGTGTGTCCGTTCCGTGTATCGTGTTTTGTATATGTTTTATTTATTGAACTCTGTTAACGACCTTCGAATGAAGTGATCACTTGACACCTTGAGGCCTGAAGATGGTTCAAAACAAGAACCGAAACTAGTTGCCTAAATCAGCAACAAAGGATTACTATATGCAGGTATTGTAAACCATTTTAAGTATAATACAGTAATCCGGAGGCTAAACAACTATTTTTTAAAATAATACAACTTTAGTATAAGTAGATGGCAGAGATCTCAACTCATAGAATATTTCAAGTATCCAAGCCAGTTTACAATACAATGGAAACTTACATGGGAATGTGTTTACTGTACAATGGAAAAAATGGATGTCAGCAAATAAGATTTTAGGTCAAGCTATTCCATATTTAAAATTAAGAAAAAGAACTGCTAACTATTAAACTGTCCCTTTAGGATTTGGAATTTTTCCCTCAAGAGCTTGGAATTTTTGAAGTGACAAATGTTGATTTTAACCAATTCCACTAAAGCTGCATCACACAACACAGGTAAATAGAAGTATGTTTTGGTCCAGATAGGATTACTTTTAATAGTTCGTTGATCCTGTTTCAGATCTCTCCGATTGTAGCGGGTGAACTTTCCTGAGAAAATCTCACAGCAAGTAATTCAACTACTTCCAAGTATGAACTTCCCGCTTCGAGAAGATGTTAATATCAGCGGTCTTTTTTATCATTTGCAGGTAATTTTTTACATATCTTATAACTATATGTTTAAATTGATAAGAATATGATACTCAATGGATTTACGTTACGACCTACATTCAATTCAATTCAATTCAATTCAATTCAAACAATTTTATTCATGCAATTTTTAAATTAAATACATAATCCCATGTGCCATGCAAAGCACGCGCGGGATGAAAAACACATTTTTATTACTGTAATACATTTCATTTTCTGGCAGCAAACAGTTCATTTTTTTCTTCTTTGTCACTTTACAGAACAGTGAGTAGACATTTCCTATTGCAACAGTTTTAATCATATAAATAACACTTATGTTATAAATAAACAATTTAGAATAAGTTACATGCTACGTAACTACACAGCGCTCCCAGGGGTGTGTGCCATAACCTAAGGTAACCGCAGCTCGGCTGACAGTTTATTGAGCGGAGCGAGCGAAGCGAGCGAAGCTCTTATACGTCGACTTTTATGCATTTCGTAATACGCAAACTCCTCCTAGACGGCTGAATCAATCGTTTTCAAATTTTGGATGGTGATAAAGACCATATCGGTGAGTGCCAACATCTATATGGCGTTAAAAATAACTCTCAGGAATCCGCCCCACTGGGTCTCAAAGTTTCAATGTAGTCCTTATGGAAGCAGTATTTGACACATAAACAAAGACATATGATCAGCTGTTGACTTTAAAATGCAGTAGATAAATAAATAGCTGATAGCATTATTCCTCAGATATTAGAACATAAACGGTGGTTTGGATCATAAAATAATCAAATGACGACAATAACTTGAGGTCCATGACGTAGGAAGTGGTGAAGGAAGTAGTAAAGGTGAGCAGTCTGGAGTGTGCAAACCGTTTATGACATTTAGATTTAGGTATCTGCATTCCAAAATTTATAAGGGAAGGGAGGAAAACGGGTCCGCGACGTAGGAAGTGTTAAAGGAACTACTAAGGGTGAACAGTCTGGAGTGTGGAAACTATTTATGTCGATTAGATTTAGGTATCTGCATTCCTAAAATTCTATGGGAAGGGAGGAAAACGGATCCGCGACGTAGAAAGTGGTGAAGGAAGTACTAAAGTGAGCAGTCTGGAGTGTGCAAACTGTTTATGAGGGTTAGATTTAGGTATCTGCATTCCAAAAATTATAAGGGAAGGAGGAAAACGGGTCCGCGACGTAGGAAGTGTTAAAGGAAGTACTAAAGGTGAACAGTCTGGAGTGTGGAAACTGTTTATGACGATTAGATTTAGGTATCTGCATTCCTATGGGAAGGGAGGAAAACGGATCCGCGACGTAGAAAGTGGTGAAGGAAGTAGTCAAGGCAAGCTGTCCGGGTTGTGGGAACTGCTTAAGCCCATTATATTAAGGTATTTGCAATCCTATGATGCTATGGGAAGGGAGGGAAACATGTCCGTCACGTAGGAAGTGGTGAAGGAAGTAGTAAAGGCCAGCAGTCAGGAGTGTGGGAACTGTTTATGACGATTAGATGAAGATATCTGCAATCATAAAATGCTATGGGAAGGGAGGATAACAGGTCCGCGACGTGGGAAGTGATGAAGGAAGTAGTCAAGGCAAGCTGTCCGGAGTGTAGGAACTGTTTATGACAATAAGATTAAGGTATCTGCAATCATAAAATTCTATGGAAAGGGAGGGAAACAGTTCCATGGCGTAGGAAGTGGCGAAGGAAGTAGTAAAGGCGAGTAGTCCGGAGTGTTGGAACTGTTTATGACGATTAGATTGAGCTATCTGCATTCCTAAAATTCTATGGGAAGGGAGGAAAACAGGTCTGTCACGTAGGAAGTGGTGAAGGAAGTAGTAAAGGCGAGCGGTCCGGAGTGTGGGCACTGTTTATGACGATTAGATGAAGTTATCTGCAATCATAAAAGCTATGGGAAGGGAGGATAACGGGTCCGCGACGTAGGAAGTGATGAAGGAAGCAGTCAAGGCAAGCTGTCCGGATTGTGGGAACTGTTTATGACAATTAGATTAAGGTTTCTGCAATCATAAAATGCTACGGGAAGGGAGGAAAACGGATCCGCGACGTAGGAAGTGATGAAAGAAGTAGTAAAGGCGAGCAGTCCGAGGGTTGGAACTGTTTATGACGATTAGATTAAGGATTAAGGTATCTGCAATCATAAAATGCTATGGGAAGGGAGGAAAAGGGGTCCGCGACGTAGGCAGTGATGAAGGAAGTAGCCAAGGCAAGCTGTCCGGAGTGTGAGAACTGCTTATGACCATTATATTAAGGTAGTTGCAATCCTATGATGCTATGGTAAGGGAGGGAAACATGTCCGTCACGTAGGAAGTGGTGAAGAGAGTAGTAAAGGCGAGCAGTCCGGAGCATGGAAACTGTTTATGACGATTAGATTAAGATATCTGCAATCATAAAATGCTATGGGAAGGGAGGATAGCGGGTCCGCGACGTAGGAAGTGATGAATGAATTAGTCAAGACAAGCTGTCCGGAGTGTGGGAACTGTTTATGACGATTAGATTAAGGTATATGTAATCATAAAATGCTACGGGAAGGGAGGGAAACAGGTCCGTTGCGTAGGAAGTGGCGATGGAATCAGTAAAGGCGAGCAGTCCGGAGTGTGGGAACTGTTTATGACGATAAGATTAAGGTATTTGCAATCCTATGATGCTCTGGGAAGGGAGGGAAACATGTCTGTCACGTAGGAAGGGGTGAAGGAAGTAGTCAAGGCGGGCTGTCCAGAGTGTGGGAACTGTTTATGACGATAAGATTAAGGTATCTGCAATCTTAAAATGCTATGGAAAGGGTTAGGAAAAGGTCCGTGGCGTAGGAAGTGGCGAAGGAAGTAGTAAAGGTGAGCAGTCCGGAGTGTGGGAACTGTTTATGACGATTAGATTAAGGTATCTGCAATCATAAAATGCTGTGGGAAGGGAGGAAAACAGGTACACGATGTAGGAAGTGGTTACAACCACAGCTACAGTAACATCGATAATAATTTAGAAATACTCCACAAATGCAATAAAGGGCCATTTATGACAACAATTGAGGAATTCGAAATATACAAAGCCGTAAAACAGGACCCACACAATGTGTTGAACGACAAGCTCTCTTTCGCATCTAACATTATATTCGACACAGCAATAAAAATAGTTGAAAATGGATACAAACAAAAGCGTGCACCTGATAAGAAAGATTAGGGGAGGGGACAAGTAAACAATGACACCGGCTTGCAGCGGTCAGTCTAGACTCAACTTCCGTGTCGCCCGCCGCTCCACCGATCGGTACCATAATAGTTATTGGCCATTTTTCGTGTTTTGTGTTAAGTGTTTTAAATGTTAAAAACTGTAAACCTCAATGTTTTTTAAAAAACGACGTGTTCGCAAGAACGAAAAGACGATGACGACGTCCGCCTGAAGATGACCCCGTGAGGGTCGAAACCGGTCGCCTTTCAAGGTCAAAAGGATCACTTGACAGCAGGTAATTTCACCAGTACACGGAAGTAGTAAGGCTGGCAGCGCAGAGTGTGGGAACTGTCTTTGGCAATTACATTAAATAATATATCTGCAATCCTAAAATGTTATGGGAAGAGAGGGAAATAGGTCCACGACGTAGGGGGTGGTGAAGGAAGTAGTAAAGGTGAGCGTGTTGAGTGTGGGAATGGATTAATGTATCTGCAAAGCTAAAACGCTATGGGAAGAGACTGTAAACTGTAGGTTAAAATAATTTCGAAGCACGAATCGATACATATTTCGATACATGCAATCGTTTATAATAGAAATTTACAACTGAGTTGCCAACAGCTGATTTTTACTCCATAGAGGATAAAAACTATTTTTACTCCATAGAGGATAAAAACTTTTTTACTTCCTAAAGACTAAAATTGCTACTTTTAGACCCTCAACGCATGCATTAAAAACGACTGGTATTACTGCAGTATGACCAAAACAATATAATATAAACCCTTGACGACTCCGCTCAATTTTGTGGATGCTTCTGCGAACGCCACCTAGTATTTAATTATTTTAGTCTATGAAGATACACAATGGATTTACAGATCAGCGTTACTAAACAGTAAACATGCAATAGTATGTTAATAAACCGATGTATAATTTGGAAAAATAAACTAACAAATAAAATAGATCTCATGATAGATTTAAATTACCTAACTAAGTACTGGCGTTTGTCCAGAATAATCAGTAAATTCTATATATATCGAAGATATGATAAATTAGATTCTAGACTTTGTTGATTTTACAAGAAACGTATATATTTAATCATAATTGTGTTAATCCTTTAATCCTTTTAACCCCTTGATGTGCCTTGTTGCAGGAATATCACCGTGGTGTGCTGCTGTCTGCCAATCGTACCAAAAGCGTAGCATGGAATTTAACTCAGCTGTAAATTCTGCCCCACGTCGGCCACGTCAGGCTCCTTGAACAGTTTCGTCCCTTATTAAGGTAATTATCTTACAAATGATTTACTATTTAAAACAAAGAAATTAATAGTTGTTAAATACATAGACACTTTAAAAGGTCTCTTAATTTTTTTTAAGGTTCTTGCTATATTGAGCTGATCTGTTTCCCAAATGAGGTTCAAGAAGAATATCTTGTCTGTGGTAAAGCAAAATTCCAAACTACATAAATACTCAGGGCTGTATTTCCCTAACAGCGGACACAGCAGTTGCGGGGGCCTAGGCCTAGGAGGGGGCCCATCTATTTTTTTTTTTTATAAATTAATTTCACTGATTTAATCTGTTTTGCCGCAATTGAGAGAGACGTTGATAATCGGATAATGGAAGACGATAATAATGTCTACATAGCCAAGGAAAATAGTCAGAATTCACTACAATCACTATTTTTTTCATTTAAAATTTTTTTTCGCCCCCCAAAAAAGCCAATTGCCTTGCACCTAATATCGGCCCTGCACATTCCGGTTAGTAAACCAATCCTATCCTATCTAACAACCACATCATTCTTTTGTGGTGCATTTGTCCACTGAAACTGTGATCCGCGACTCTCACCCGACTGTCGTGCTTGCAAGGGCGTACATGATTAAATGGGTGCTCACCCACACCACAATTGTTTTGTCAGATGTCGTGCGTTCTCCCCATTAGTCCTAGTTCTCGTTGCACCTTCTCTCTGTGCACTTTGCATACTGCGTTTGTTTTTTGAAGTGAATAGTGACAGTTGTGAGTGACAATGGCTTCAAATATGAATTATCGTGTAGATCGAAAATAGCAACTGAAGTGATAATTGACAATGATGTTTTGATTGAATTAGTGGAAGCAAACCCAGTACTGTGGGATAAAACTTTAAACTATTATAAGGACAGAAATTAAATGAAAGAAGCGTGGAAACTAGTTTGCTCTGCTCTGAGAGAGGTTTTTGAACAATTGGAGGGTAAAGAAAAAAAACATTTATTAGTTATTATTTATTATTATTAGGTTTTTTAATCAATTAATAACTTGATTAATTGGGTTGAATCCAGTACTTCCTCTCAATCCTACGCTGCCTAATTCTGCACCACATTGCAACCACAGGTAACAGATTCATTGTTTTACTATTTTTGATACAGGACCACTCTTAATATATTGCACAACACACACTCACTCGTCCACAGCTACCGAGCAACTGGTCATTTACCCGATAAAAATACAGTAAAAAACAGTAAACATGCAATTGTACGTAAATAAACCGATGTATAAATTGGAAAAATAAACTAACAATTCAATAAGATCAAATGATAGATATTCTAGACTTGGTTGATTTCACAAGAAACGTATATAATTAATTGTAATTGTGTTAATCCTTTTAAACCTTTAAACCCCTTGATGTTCCTTGTTGCAGGAATATCACAGTGGTGTGCTGGTGTCTGCCAATCAAAAACGTAGCATGAGATTTAACGCAGCTGGATCCTGCCCCACGTCAGGCTACTCGAACACTTTTGTCCCTTGAGGTAACTATCATACACTTGATTTACTATTTGAAACAAAGAAATAAATAGTTGTCAAATACATAGACACTTTAAAAGGTGTCTTAAGCTTTTTTTAGTTCTTATCATATTGAGCTGATTTCTTTCCAGTATGAGGTTCAAGAACAATCTTCTTGTTACAAGTAGAATTGAAAATATATTTCTAACAGTGCATTTAGAGTGGAGTCAATATTTTAGTGGCCCCAGTTACCAAGCTTTTGTGTTTTTAAAAAATACACAAATACCAGCTGCTTTGAAACAAAACAGCTGTTAGATTAGAACCCTATTTGTGGTGCCACTTCAATGGCTGTGGCCTGGAGTTAAAGGGGGCATGAATGTAAAAGAATATAAAAAAAATTCAAAAAGGTAAAAGGTTTAAATTACCTGTATCCGTCGCGTTTGTAGTTAATTAACTACAGCCGTTTCGTGTTGTAAAAACATATCTTCAGTTCAAACGTACATTGATTTATTCCATGGTCGTCATAAGGTTTAAAGTTCACAGAAATAACACATACACGTACACAAAACACTAAACATAAATTGGCCAATACAAAACGTACGAAAACGCCTATGACCTACCTTCTACCGGCACCGTACGTGTCCGATGTCTATTACGTGTTTTTCGTATTTTTTGTTTTGGCCAATTTATGTTTAATGTTTTGTGTATGTGTATGTTATTTTTGTGAACTTTAAACCTTACGACGACCATTCCATGGAATAAATCAATGTACATTTGACCTGAAGATGTGTTTTTACAACACAAAACGGCTGTAGTCAATTAACTACAAACCAGGATCACTTGACGGATACAGGTAATTTAAACCTTTTATTGTAATATTCTTTTATCCAGAGGCTATAGGCTACCATAAAAATGAAAAGAATATTCATTGAAAGAGACTATAATTAATTAGGTCCCAGGTCCTAATATCAGAGTAGTATGTATTATATAGTATGTATTATGAGCGACTTATCAGTATTCAAAGTATCAGGTAGTATGTCCCTGATACTAGTGATGATGTTGTCTTTCTTCTGTTAAGATGGAGGGAGAGTACTAGATGCCGACATGGACCTGCTCTGTGTCGCCGTCACAGGAACAGTACAAGCTGTGCAGACCGACTCGCCACTCTGAACGACTTTGGAAAGCGAAGAATTGGCACATGCTCTGTATATTTCTAATCTTTTTTTGTATTAAACTCCGTTTACAAAATTTTGGTGGTTATGGGGGTTCTTTAAATTTAATTACCTATTAACAATTCATTAGACTTGACTTGATGAAAAAGTATATTTTTAACTGAGATAAAATTACAATGAATGAACATTAAAAGTAAAAAAGTGTATTTTATTTATTCATGCAACAAAAGATTATAAACAAAATACATTTCATAGAAAGCTTCAAACGCCTCAGTAGGCTTGTTTGCTTGTTTCACTCATATCTTTTTACAGGTTTCACTAGTCTTTCAAACTTTGTTCCAATTTCTTCATTAGGATGACTAGATCGTGAAGCAGGATGATTATTGTTATTATTATTACAACAGAAACAAATAGCTGGACAGATGTCAATAAGCTCAACCGCTTAATCAGCTGTAACATACATTTAGAGAAAAGTGGTAGGGAAACCCAGAAAAACTTCCCCTTAAACCGCCTGCATTTTGTAAACGGACTATTCTGATGTGATTATTGTTTTTATTGAATTATTGTTTGGTACTGTGTTGTCCATTTATGTAATTGTATAAAAAATATGCTATACTCTAACATCGTTTGCACAGAGTGTTCCGTTTTTTTGTTTGTAACAATATTTTGGTGCTAGACTTAGTTAAATAGAATCGGAAAAATTCCCAGATGTATGGCTGGAATGGAGGAGCTACGAAAAGGTTAATACAGCGCTGTGCCTCACTAACTCCCAATACCCTTTCCTAACTTACCTGAAATAACAAGACTGGATCGTAGTCTCCTCTATTCCCAGTTAGAGCTCTGAGAGGTAAAATATAAACAATAAGTAAAATGTTTAGGGAAATAACTGGCGTAAGCCTAGATGAATAGATTGTTTAGAGAATAGCCGGCTCTCTAACCCTGGCTACTGAACCGGAGCACTCCATTATGTTTTTTTATTATTTTTATTTTTATTTTGTGTAAGTTGTTACACGAGTAGTTTTGGGTTACCCATGTCTTTTATGTAAAATAATCATTTGTACGGTCTCATGTAGCACATATACAATGTATAATACAGTACTCTAGTTTTTTGTGTTATAGTGTATTTATGTATGACTGTTTTTAAGATAATCAAGTTGATACAAAAGGGACTTAGTAGACTAGCCATGCACATGAGTCCGGTGAAAGCTCCTGCGGTGTGTGTGTTCTTCACAGAGGGAACAGATAGCTTTCAAAATATAAACTGATGCGCTCGAACTCACCCATTAAGTATATCTTTTCCGACTGTTGCCAAATTTCCGTTTTCCAATATAGGGGATAAGCTATTACCGTAATATCCGGACCTGGGACAGGTTGACTTATTCGTTTTGATGTTCCCAGAGAACAAAAACACCATCCGTTGAAATGCATTCATTCCATTAGGATGATAACCGATAACTTGAGTAACTGTAACCCGATTTTGATCATATTTGATATAAATAAACATTTAGTAAACCTTACGTTTATTCAAATGAGTTTGCGAATCAGCATGCTTAGGCTATGAGGACGGAGTTCTAGGGAGCCGCGGTAAAAATTGGTTTTTCTTTTCATTCCTAGAACATAAAATGTTTGAATTGTTTTTCAAACATTTTTGTAAAGCTTAGAAACTCAAATGATGATTTAGTAGATTAAAGTGTACTTTATATGGTTCTAGAGAAAAACGGTAAATCTGAAATTTCCATGTTATTTTAAAAATAATAAATAATCTTAAGTAATTTTCTTTTATGGCAAATTGATTTATTTCATACTCGACTTTTAGTGTTTCTCTAAAAACACACTTTACTGTCCTGTAGCAGCAAACCTAAGCACTCACTAAACTTAAGGTTTGATATAGGAAATACATTTTACAAGGTAAACGACATATTTTAAATATCTTTTGCCATCCCAGATTCAAGAACTTGAATTATACGTATTAGATTTACGTTTGTTGTAGTTGCCCGAGTTCTTCTAGGTAAGAGATTTTTATCACCCCATGAATTTCTCCACCTTGTGTTTCATCTTCAGGTGTCTTCTTGAATTCATATTCTATAACTACACTAATTTATATTTACAATAATATTTACACACATGGTCACTAGTACTGCGGTTGGGTCAATCGGACAGCGACGATGTAGACTTGGCGGAATCATCGTGGATGGTCTTTCTTCCTCAGTTTCATTTCTAGACTTAGGGATGTCGGCATTTGGGCCGATCGACGTTTGAGGTTAATTTGACTCTCCTGGTTTATGGTCGGTGATTTGATCTCTGTTGTTGCTGATGGTTTGGTGCTATGTTTCCAGTTTTGTTTGTTTCAATGTCGCTTTTGTATATTAATTTGAAAATTGTAGGACTGGTGTAGTCTTCTTTTTTGTTTAGGAGGGTGTTCGATCCATTTATATTTTGTAGCTTTCTTTTACTTTTGCCATGGGATTTTGAGTCGGTTTTATTCTGAATTGTGAGGGAGTCGGGAATCGTAGAGTTGTTATGATGACTTGTGTCATGCTCTTTAAATAGTTGATAAACTGTTCTGTTGGTGTAACCTGTGGTATTGGTTGTTAGATGGTGGTTATAGGAAATATTTTTGTGACTCTCCCATCTTTAACTAGCCTGTCTTTTATATAAGGAATTTTGTAATTTGGAATGAGGTTGGTTTTTACTTTATAGGTAGGTGTGTGTCCAACTCTGGAATTTTTAGGTTGATTTGTCTATATAGTTGGTGGATACGTACGTATCTTTTGGTTGGGTCATGTACGTCTGGTTGTATCCTTTTTCATTTGGCTGGTTATCGTGTCAAACCTCGAATGGTCTAATGCTGACAATCCCAGTCTAAGAATTGAAACGGAGGAAGAAAGACCTACTGCCATGATGACTACGCCACTTATTCATCGACGTGTTGTCCGATCGACCCCTACCGCTATTGTACTAGTGACCGTTTATGTATCAATATTTTTGTAAATTTAGACAATAGGTTAGTAATAGGGAGATAAATTCAAGAAGACCCCTGAAGACGCCGCACAAGGTGGAGAAATCCATAGGGCGACACAAACATCTTACCTGCAAGAGGTCAGGCAACAACAACAAAGGTAAATGGGACAATTTTTTGTCAAACACCAATCAGGCAAATAAAAATGTTCCTAGTCTGTAGGTTTGCTGCGGCGGGGGATATTTATTCCTCACAATTTCTTAGCGATTTACTGGTAAGTCTACTGGTCCTTGTGGAGTGTAATTCAATTCCTATCTAGATTTGGGGCATATATACGTTTTTCTGTTTTTGCTGTTTTTCTGTTCTGTGTAATGTAGTTATTTTTGTTATTCGTTCACAATATTTAGGCAGTTTTTGGGGAAGAATCCCCTCTACTTTATCCTTACCTTTGAAATAATAGCTTAACAGCTGATTAAGTAACATACTGTACATTAAATACAAAAAAGTAGTGGGGAACTTCCCCTCAAACCCCTTAATTATTGTGAACGGAGTAGTAATGCAGAGTCAACAATCATGTACACCATGTAGTTATAAGTTTCTTTCTCTTCGTATCATTCTGTTAACATTTTATGCTACATGACGGTGCTAGGAAAAAGTAAAGTTTGTAAAGTCAGTAAATCTTAATGTGTTATTGTAGTCTTGTAGAATATAAATGTTAAGAAAATTGTTCTTGTTGGTTTATTTTTTGTGGTATTCAAAGGAAAGAGTAAGGGGTGTAAATTCAAAATTTGAAAGGGGTCAGATATTTTGAAAGAGGGCAGAATTTTAATCTGCCAGGGGCATACATCATATACCAACCCTATCCAGAGGTATTATTAATTAACTTCATATAAGTATCCCAAGTAATTTTTAAAACCTTCCAGCCTAAACTTGTATATAAAAAAACTTTTGCAAATATTATGACAGCTAGCCTACTACTGGACGGAATTACACGAGGGTTGTACCAAAAGAAAGGTTATCGGTCCTATGCAGATGGTAAATAAACAGTACTAACATCCACCGATGGTCGTGATAGAGGCTCATCTTCAATAGTCATAAATAGCGACTCTGCCATGTTCCCTTTCCTCCAATCCGGTTCTTTGTATAGAATTTTGCTGGAATCCCATTTTACTGTATGATTTGTCTCTAATACATGTTCACAGATTCTCGAGCCATACCTATCCTTATTTTTAACCTTTTTAACGTGTTCGTTAATCCTCACCGTCACTGGCCTTGACGTTTGCCCTACGTAGTTTCTACCACACGAACAAGGAATTTTATAGATAATATTTTATAGAACTTCGTATCGCCTAAGTTATAGGTTTCCCCTAAGACAGACCGATGGAAAGAAAGTACCGTTACGTTTAATTTTCAAGATGATCTCGTTCGCATCGCTCAATCACGTCCTGGTTGAAGTTCGTTCGCTACGCTCACTCACCTTTGGGTTGGAGCTCGTTCGCTACGCTCACTCACCTTTAGGTTGGAGCTCGTTCGCTGCGCTCACTTGCCTTCAGGTTAGCTCGTTCGCTACGCTCACTCGCCTCCAGGTTGAAGTTCGTTCGCTACGCTCACTCACCTTTTGGTTGCAAATTAGCTGTTGTCATAAATGTAAAAGAAATAATAGTGCTGCACCCTGTTGGTAATCCTTGTAACTTTAATGCTATTGAACATCATAGAACAGAACCAACTTGTTTAATTGAAACAGCTGTTAAGATTCATTAATTCCATTTCTGATAAGGTTAACATGGGAAACTCCAGAGCCACTGGGGCGAAGCCCTTTTAAGAATTTCGAAACGGGAAATAGTTTACTTCCTATTCGCATACCTACAGAATTTACACACCAAATTTCATAACGATCGGTGAAGTCGTTCCGGAGGAGTTTGCAGACAAACACTGTGACACGAGAATTTTATATATTAGATTTTTTGTGTTTTGCTGTTCATTTTCAGGTTTTAGTTTGGTGAGACGGCTACGAATTCCTAAATTGCATAAACCAGGCATCCCTTTGCGTCCGATAGTAAGTGCAATTGACTCACCGTACTACCAACTATCTAGGTTCCTCTTACCATTGCTGACACCTTACTTTGGGCAATCTGATAGTTTTATAAGAGACTCAAAAGATTTTATTGACAAAATAAACCCACACAAACCCAGCAATAGCACTATGCTCGTCAGCTTTGATGTGACGAACTAATTCCCTAACGTTCCGATCGACCCTTGTTTGACAATTGTGAGGGAAAAGCTTGAAAACGACGTCAATCTAGAAGATAAAACTAAGATCCCCATATCCAACATTATGGAACTACTAACAGTACTAAGTCAAACTACTTTCAAGTTGAAAATGATTTTTTTGAGCAAACCCAGGGTATGGCGATGGGCGGGGTTCTAAGCCCCATCTTAAGCAATATTTTTATGGATAAATTTGAGCAGGATGCAATTAGATCATTTCAAACCAAACCAAGAATCTGGCTGCGCTATGTAGATGATGTGTTTTGTATGTGGGAGGATTCAATGGAAGAGCTTATGAAATTTAAAGACCACCTAAATAATCAATTAGACTCCATACAATTCACTATTGAACTTGAAAAAGACAATAGGTTACCATTTTTAGACGTACTAGTTGAAAAATTGGATCAAGGCTGGCTTACTAGCGTCTACCGAAAACCCACTGCTACAGGACAATATCTAAACTTTGCTTCTAATCACCCAACTCATGTCAAAACAGGCTTGGTTATCGGTCTTATCAAACGGGCTAAATCTATTTGCAGCAACGACAGCATACTTAAAACAGAACTAGACAGTATAAAACAACATTTAAACAACTGTGGCTATCCCCAATCTATTTTTAATAAGGCCCTAAACAAAGTAAATAACTCCAGATTAGAAGCAAAGTTTAGATATTGTCCTGTAGCAGTGGGTTTTCGGTAGACGC